TCCAGATTGGCTCTTGGTAAGCTGTATTTATAAATTCGCATATTACATGCATGTCGAGCAGAAAAATCCCGTGGGACAGCAGCCCAACTGCAAAAAAGCAGGATCAACGGTTCAATGCAATCTCCACTGAAAAAAAAAACAAAAATGGAGATACTTGCAAATTATGTGCTGGATATATTGGGCGCTGGTAAGTCACAGCACTCGCAGCTAATGCTCAATACCAAAGGAATGTGCAGGTAATTGAGCTTTCCAAAACTCACGCAATAACACTTATGTTTCTCGGCAATACTCCGTTTAGCATCTTGAGGTATGAAAGCTCTTCCTTCTTCGGGTAGCTTTCAATTACACTTTTATCAGTTGATTCGGGCCAGAAAACGAACGCTCCGTCGATATCAGAAGATCTAAAGTGATTATTTGCAGAAGAACTTTGACAAAAATTTGAATCTACATGCGTGAGTTAAGTACTCGATTAAACAATGTGAGTGAGTAATTTATACCTCACCACAACGGCGGCTACTTGCTTGAAGGCTGATACTCCTTTGTCAGTTCGACCACATCGAGAGAAGTCGCAATCTTTCTCACTAGTTATGAGCTTTGTTTTGAGGAGGGCGTCCATCAAATGCTAAATATTATTAATCCATAAAACACCGTTATGTTCTAGAGTGCAAAAACGTTAAGTACAAACCTTCTCAACTGTATTTTCAGAAGTCGTTTGTTGTACGAGACCTTCAAACTCCCAGCCATAATACAGAAATTGTAGAGCAATTTTGCGACGAGGATGAGAATCAAAGTCAAATACACGTTTTCGCTTCACCTCTCAAATAGTAATTATGAGAGTTGCCTCACTAATCTCATGATATTGAAGCGCAATCAATACTCGAGGTTATCCCAGTGAATATTGCTTATAGAAAAAGCCTGTGGTGATCAATTTATACTCTGAAAATTATAAAAATCCTTTTAGCTGGTATAACGTAAGTAGACACGCACATTTAATCAAACCATTTATATTAAATTTACCGCTAAGGCCTTCAGAGTTTGTTATTGTGCTCAAATTAATTAAGGAATCATTTTTGGGAATACTTGCTAATAATTTTTAACTTGCACGAGTAGATGAGATAATTTCAAGACATTGCCATTAGTTAAAACATGGAATTTTATTTTTTTTCTCATCTCAAACAAAACACAAAATAACCTACGAATTCCGCTTGAAACTGTTCCATTTCCAGGTTTTTCTAAATCATCCACTTTCTCATCATAATGAGGCCGTTTTTGACTGCCTGGTTTGGCTGGGAATACCATCTCACTGTAACATTGACAGATATGATCATTGTAATAAACAATGTAATATAAGAACGACAACATTTGTTCAATAAAGAAAGAGAATGAGAGCATGCCTAGTGAGCGTGTAGGCATTTCATGCTCCATGGCTAGTGCACCCCTAGAAATTTGTAGGACAGTTGTCAAAAGCCAAGGGTGTGGCTCAGCGTTTTTGTTGGTTTCTCTGCACCCTCTTGCATAGACATATCTCCCAACAGGTGCCGCGACAGAGAATGAGTGATCATGAAAGTCAGTTTTTAACGGCTCGTGAACAGGTGACGGTCAAGTCGTGCGTCCGAGGACG